CACACACACACACACACACACACACACATATATATATATATATATATATATATATATATAAACCGAACACTATGACTTGACCATCCGGATTGTATGAATAGGTAGCTATAGTCGTCCTTGCACTTGTGGTAGTGTAACAGTTGACACCAATCAAGCTACTACCCAAGGTTAATCCCATAATACCTACCTCGACATCCTGAGGTGGTAGGACCTCCTGCTATTCTCACAAATGAAATATCTCTCTCTATGTGAGAATGATACTCATAGAATTTCAGGATGAACGCCAGCCTAGCATATCCATATTCATACTTTATAATTCAATAACCATACACGAGACATTCCGCCTTGGAATTCTCTTCCACAGTATTTAAAAGTCAAAATTCTCATATTTAACATAATCTATCATTCATCAGTTATATTTTCATTCATAGAATAAAGAGAACATGTGAACGTTGGAGACCGAACACCTTCACACTACCCAACTGAGAGGACCGAACGGTTCATAAGAGACAAAACAAAAGAAAATGACTGAACGCTATTATTGACCGACCACTATAAAAAACCAACTACTAGGAACTTAGCCCAACCGGAAGAGCTTAAACCGAACACTCATAACTCAAACCAAACTCTTAAAAAACTTAGACCGAATGCTTTTACTGCATCGAGTACTTAGAGCGTACTGGATAAATAGATAACACCTCTAATAGACCGAACCCAGTTAATGATTGAGTACGGAACACAACCGAACGGTCAACGAAAAAAAATTCTTAATAACACTTCTTAGACCAACACAAGATATTTTTCTTAATTTCTAAACGTCCAAACTTGATTTCTAAGTTATTTTAAACCTATTCCACTGAACTTATTTCACACTGACCCCAACTCACATTTTCACATACTCTCTTTGCCAAACCAAAAGTGACCGAACGTTCTGTAGCAGGAAACTCCAAACCAGTTCACAAGTCTCGGCCAATCACAGAATTTGAATACAATTCAATCAAACATACCATTATTCATACATGCAAGCATTCAAACAGAAATTCCAAACACAGAAAAACATAATTAAATTACTAGCTTCCCTTACCTTGAATAAACTTGACACTTCCTAAGCTTCTACCATTTTGACTAACCAGCAACCACTTCTAAAGCAACCAACTAAATTTTTGATCGGTGAAAAGGGACCAACCAGAGGATCAAAGACAGAAAAACAGATTCAGAGAGATAGATGATGAACACATGCAAGCTGAACAGTGCTTGCATGTATTAGAAAAATATAGAACCTCACAGAACGAATGAGTTTACTTACCTACTTCACACAACAACTAGATTGATGGAAATGAAACTCTTGCCACCAAGTAAGAACTCAGACACAACCTAGATGATGATCAGAAGAAGGAGAAAGTGAGAATTTGTAGAAAGAAGGGGGAGAATTTTAGAGAGAAGGAGGAGGAAATAAAACTCAGAAATTTGGAGAGAAGAGGTTCATGCAAAAAGTGGCTCAACGTTTGAAAAATTTACTTATATACTACCGTCAAAAACCGATCGGCCAATCAGCTACACACACCTGTCTTCCACTTTCTGAATTTTCTAAATCCTTACACCTGGCTTCCACTCACTGCTGATTTTAATGGTCCTGACAAATATAATTAACTTATACTGAATATTTCCTTAGGATGTAGCTCTATTTACTATAATTAACTTAAACTGAACATTTCCCTAGGATATAATTCTATTTACTATAATTAACTTATACTGAATATTTCCCTAGGATGTAGCTCTATTTATTATAATTATTTCCCGCCCATCCTAACTGCTGTCCCAGGTAGGATAGTCACTCTTTAACCGATCGGCTCCAGCTCTTCACCGCCTTCCACCGTTCGGCTTGCTTCCCTTTTCCTCCTACCGTTCGGCTCCCCTGCTTCCTACCGTTCAACTCCCCTACCTTCTATCCTATCACCAGTATCCTATCAGGTTGACATTCTAGTATTCAATAGTCATATGTCATCACATGGAAAGCTGCCTACAAGGAAGAAAAAATATACAAAAGCATGAGGGACTCAACCAAATCGATGCTTAGAAAAAAATAACCACTCCCACGAAGGATACAACTAAGCAAAACAAAAATTTGGAATTTGATACCTATTACAAAAAAAATCTATATTAAGACTAGAAGGAAGATCATTAACCCACATAGGCAAGTCTATTGTCAATCCCAATGTTGGCAAGACCATTAGCACAACAATTGTCTTCATGATAAATGTGAGAAACCTTAAAGTCTAAAGCATCACATCTTTTAAGACACTTAATCCATCTTCTTCTAAGAACCCACTGAACAGTTCGAGGAGAAGAAAAATCTTGACAAAGCAGGGTAGAGTCATATTTTAACCAGAATCCACAAAAGTCTCTATAGTCACATTCAACTTATAATTGCTAGTGAATATTTATCATCATTTGGCCTTACTCAAATAACTAATGCTTTTGGGCTAGGCAGTTTGTTATTTGAGATTTAGAATTAAATTGTGGGGAAGTGAACTATGATTCTTACTTTTTACTTCATTTTGTTCATAAAAATTGACATTCTAGTAGAATCTATCGGCTATGCCCTTTGTCTTTAAAATTTTTCTGGCTAAACGGTGGCTGGGCTACTTACTACTGTTGTCATAGAATTATCTACTATTATTTTTTTGTTTCATAAATCATTATAAGTTTGGAATAGTCTAGGCTGCTGGATATGGCCACTTAGTGTTTACTTTCTAAATACTTTGCACTTGCTTGACTGTAAACATGTGGGTATTAGCTCTACTCACTGCATAAATTATTTAGAACTTGGACGAGTTCTACTTTGCAACTGAAATTTTGATGATTGAATTTGTCGTTATCAAATTTAATTTAGATATTTGTATTGGGAGACCGTTGAGGCAAAACCAGTGCGTCCGCCGCTTGGATTTGCCCAACCATTACTATTTATTATTTCTTTTTCGCATGATATATGGACAGCTGCTGTTGCTTCTATTTTATGTTTTGGGCCTTTGTTTTCCTTTATCTTTATGATGATATTTAGGTCATGTTGAGGGATGCACACCAACACGGCTATATTTGCAAACCTTGTATGTTATAAGAAATGTGGGTTTGTGGTGTTTGGCTCATGATAACGGGTGAAGTTTTGAATATTTTTGGGAAGCTTTTGGTGCAACTTCTTCAAATAAAAAGAAAAGCATTAGATTTTGACAGCCAATCTATTTACACCCAGAATCTAATTGTTATGTTTCCCCTCAGGGCTAAATTTATATCTGCAGAAGAGAGAACTGGTGTTACATTTGATGATTTTGCTGGCCAGGAATATATAAAGAAAGAACTACAAGAGATTGTTCGAATTTTGAAGAATGACGACGATTTTCAAGACAAAGGAATTTATTGTCCAAAAGGTGTACTTCTTCATGGGCCTCCTGGAACAGGTAAAACCCTACTGGCCAAAGCCATTGCAGGTGAAGCAGGACTGCCTTTCTTTGCAGCCAATGGCACAGATTTCGTAGAGGTGCTGCCTCTTCTTCAAAGATGTTCATATGCATTGAATTGAAATTTGCAAGTAGAACTTTGAAAATTTTGTTTGGTTCAATATCTAAAATCCCAACAAAGTCATTATATTTTTGATGAACTGGATTGTAGATAAAATTTAGGCTAAATTATACTAATAGTCCTTTATCTTTTATGTTTTATTCAGTTTAGTTCCTTATCTTCTAAAAGTTTTATTTAGTTCGGTATGTTTGTAGAATGGTCCTTCCTCCACCTAAACTTAATCCCATTAACACATTTTTAGTTTAACCCCCATCCCGACCTCCATCACCTCTCCTCATCCCCTCTTCTTCCTCCACATCCTCAACTGACTCACTTCCTCCCTTTCTCACCACATCATTCTCTATCTACCCCACCCACGCATCCTACAACTACCTGACCTGCAAGACACTGTAACCCCGTCCTCTCACCCCTCCACCAACTTGTACCCACACCCACACCCCACCCAACACCTTCTTCAAACATTATAAGACATAAAAAACTCCCCCTAATAGCACAAAGAAAAGAACTTCTTTTTGAAAAAACAAAGAAAAAATTCTTTTTTGCTCTTTTTGATTTTTCAAAATTTTGGCAAGAACAAGAACCATAAGGGCTACCTCAATCTAAGAGATGTAAAAGTTGGGGTGACATTTCAGGCTGAGATTCCTTTTTTAAAGCAAAGGTTTAATTTTTATATTTGGGAGAACAAATAAGGAAGAAAGGGAATTGAATGAATGAATGAATGGATGGTGAAGATAGAAGAGGAAGAGTTTGGTGTGGGTGTATATGGGGTCGGGAGAGGAGGGGGAAATAGGAGAGTGTAGGAAGAAATTGAGGAATAGAATGTGGATGTTATTTAAAGGTCAGCAAAATTAGGTTTAACATATGGAAGGACCATTTGAACCACTTTATCACATAAATGACTTAATTGAATTTTTTAAAAGATAATTTAACCTTAAATTTGTATATAATGTATAATTTGACCTTAAATTTAGTTAACTCTAATTTTGTTGGAATCGTCATTTAGTGTCTACTTTTACATAATTTGGTCCTTCAAATTGGATTATATCAGAAATTGACATTAGAGGACCATTTTGATGTATTATTATTAAAGGACCAAATTGATGCACTTGTATCTTTTGATGACCCTAATTTGTTTTTTTATTAAAATACCAAGGTTAAATGGAGACATCAACATATTAATCATTAGCTAATAATATGGAATCTATATATTCCTCTTCACAGATAATGAGATAAATTTGACTCTAATTAGAGTGTGCTAAGTGCTAACTATTTGTATCTACATCATGTGCTTCACAATATTCTTTTTGTTTACATGGATGGACTTCATGATGGCATGTCCCCGTGAAATGCGAAATGTTGCATTCGATAAGGCTTGTCCTGATTTTGTTATACCTGATTTATTTGGTACTTTACAAATAAATGAGATTGGAACTCATTTGAATGTCTTTTCTTTCTCCCAGATGTTTGTAGGGGTTGCTGCAAATCGCGTGTTAAGGACCTCTTTGGAAATGCAAGATCATTTCACCTTCTATATCTTTATTGATGAGATAGATGCTATTGGTAGCAAACGTGGAGGACCTGATATTGGTGGAGTAAGATATGAACTACTTTTATATGATTTTTTTTTTCTGTACTCCCAAAGAAATTGGTGTGGAAAAACTCCAGATTTGATGTTTTTGTAGCACTAATGTTTGATTGACTAAAAATTGTCAAAGTTCTAGTGTTCTATCTAGAAGGAACAAAAGACATCAATGTAGGAAAACTATCCAATCCATTTATGAACTTGAAATGGATGCTGATTTAAAAAGGACATTGTGCTCCTACATGGGAGGCCAATGCATATTCTTTCCCTCCAAATCAGCTTATGTAAAGATATATACTATAAAATGCTAAAGTAACTCTCCACTGTGCACCAAAGCATAGTAAGTTAATATGAAAAATGATGATTATTAAAGGGAGACGTACAGAGGACAGGGTATTGAACGTAGCAATGTTGATACATTTGTGTAATGCTATGGACAATCCCAATGAACGAGGTAAAGGGGGAGAGTCTGATTGTGTAGGAGACGAGTCTCTAGGAAGATGGGAAATAATTAGGCCAGAAGTAGTGGGTATGATTTGTCAACAACAAAGGGGATCGGAGATGAGACAAGTGTGGAAATAATTTAAAAGAAACCATGACCTACTAGGAGCATAATATCAATGTCAAGAAGCACAAAGTGAATCGGAAGAAAGGACAAGCCTAAAAGATGCTAATACCAACAAAATCAATATATCTGTTGTCCTGATAGTAGCACTTCTAACCTATTAGCAATTAACACTATCCAAGAAATGACATTGGATTTCATGGTCAGTTTCTTATTTTTATTGGAGTTAAGGCATAGACAAAAGTGCATATGGAGAGATAAAAAGGAAGAAAATAGAAGTTCAGCTTTGAGAATAATAGAAATTGGCTCACCTGATTTTGGAGGATGATGGGTGGTGGCATACACTTGATCAAATAGCATGTAGTGAATATGTTAGGTTCCTAGATAGAGGAATCCAAGAACACACACTTGGCAACACCAAACACACACAGAAACACTGAAACAGTCTTGTATTATTATTCTTGTAAGAAAAGAATACAAAGAATACAATTCGTACCCTTCCAACGGAGCTGTCTCCCCTCACACAGGAAAACTAATGTCCTGTCACTAAGATACAATCAACTCAACCTCCCATCCCTAGACAACCCTTTCCCTGTTTAAAGAGTCCTCCTAATCTGAACATAACACCCCCACCAGGACAGTTATCCTAGCCCCTGCTTCCTAATTGTCCTAACAGACCCCCAACTGTTTATGCTTTACTTTTAACTCCTTTCCTCCTTTCATAAACCTTCCAAATCCTATCATTACACACCGCTGCAGAAAAACTTTGTCCTCAAGGTTGGAACAATGAAGCTTGAGCCTATGACATTGTGATATGGTCTTATCACAGGAAGAGAACACGCTGGCTACTACCTGCAACTTCAGGTTTGGAAGCTTGGGTGGTGGTCGAAATGAGAGACAAAATTTATGGGACCATTTTAGTGTCTTCATTATTTCCTTGAAAGTGAGGAGCTTCTTATTCTTCCCTGTAAAAGAACTTCTTCTACTCGAATTATCCAAAGAAGAGCCATTATTACTCAACTCGAAATCATGCTTGGTAAGATCTTTAGTCGAGACTATGACCTTTTCCTGGAGACAACACCCTGAATCTTGTTCAAAGAGATTGATGAGTGTCACAAACTCACACCAACCCCCATCCTTTGCAGCTTTTGAGTAGTGGTTATGAAATTCCTTGGTGAAAGATTTATCCTCCATTTTCTGGTTCACCATTGATAACTGATGGCTAACAAAACAATTCCAATCATTGGAAGTATTTCTTGAATTTGTATCCATGATTTTCTCTTCTTTAGCTGGTACTTCCACCTAGAAAAATTCTTGCTTATCCAAGTGAACTTTCCCATATACCCATCATACATCCAATAACCCCTCTCCCTTCTTCCGGCAATCACACAAACACTCATGGAGAAACTGCTGAATTCCTTGCTCACGTGACATGAGGTGTTAAAGACCCTGGAATCATCCACCAAGAACCCTAAATCCATAATGAAAAAATCCAATATTTTCATATCTTCATTCCATTCCCATCTATTACTGTCACCGCACTTATTATTAAGCCATAAGAATTCCTATGCATGTGATTGGATCCACACCTATGATTCAACATAGACATCCTAACATCCCAACAACTCCTACTAGATAACACCACACTATTTTCTGTGTCCTTGCTTTCCAAACACCTA